AGGTCCGCCCCCAACACATAAAGGCCGCCGCGCCGACCCGCTCTCGCCACTCTCCGTCTCCGGGGTTCAGCGTCAGCATGTCTGGCAGAGGCAAGGGCGGGAAGGGGCTCCGCGCGGGGGGGGGCGAACGGGCGCCCGCGACAACATCCAGGGCATCACCAAGCCGGCCATCCGCCGCCTGGCTCGGCGCGGCGGCGTGAAGCGCATCTCGGGGCTCATCTACGAGGAGACGCGCGGCGTGCTGAAGGTCTTCCTGGAGAACGTCATCCGCGACGCCGTCACCTACACCGAGCACGCCAAGAGGAAGACGGTCACGGCCATGGACGTGGTGTACGCCCTCAAGCGCCAGGGACGCACCCTCTACGGCTTCGGCGGCTAAAGCTTTTCCGTGCAGACCTTCTCGAAAACCCAAAGGCTCTTTTAAGAGCCACCCACTTTTTTCGGCTAAAGAGCTGTGTTACTTGTACGCTGCTAAAATGAAAGTCAACTAACTTGTTCCTGTTTATAAGTTCTACTTTTTATTATTCAGATATAAAGTTTTTAAAAGGCGGTTAATTGTTTAAATTGCTCTGAATTGAGTAGAGCAGACCTACGAAGGTATTATGGTATGGGTGTAACTTGAAGCTAATGGGTCTAGAATTTTTATTCAGGTCTCAGAAAAATTGTAAACACCCTGAAGTTAGTCTCTTACAGCAGTTGAGCAAACCTCGCTAAGGGGCAGGTACACATCACCTACTCGTGGCCTGTATTTTTTCTTTCAAGTTACTGAGTAAGCAGCATCAGAAGTAAATAAAGTGTGTTTAAGTTTTTTATCCCTGCGCTGATGCTCGGCAGCTGGAAATTCAGGGGTGCGGGGTGGGAGGTGTCACAGTCAAGTCGCCCCCCTGAACTCCTTATAAAATGCTAAATTTCGGGATGGTCTGAAGTCGCTTCTGCCAACGTGTTTAGGCGATCGGCCCTTTGTTATGCGGCCGGTGAGTTAAAACCGATGAGGGGCTTGCTTTCCGTGGGGGGCTGCTGGAGCGTTATCGGCATCCGGTGCCAGGACAGTCCTCCCTCTGCCCAGGGTGAGAGCAACTCTCTTGGCTAGGAGAACAAAGCAGTGTTAAAAAAAAAAAAAAAGGAAAGCTCACTGGCAGCAAAGTTTCCATTTCAGCAAGAAACAGCCTGGGAATGCTACCTGGGAATATACTGTCTCCAAAAGAAATTTTAGGTTGTTGAAAACGCTCTGCCATGAATTAGAGCACTTTCACGTGCGAGTCACCTCAACCCAAAAACATTTACCCAATCAGTTACAGTGTTACTTTCTATTAAATCAAAATAAAAATTACTCCAAGTTTAAAAAAAAGGAAAAAACATCCAAAAACACCCAAGCAACAGCAAAACCCAGAAAAAAAACTCCTTATAAGAATATTTGTTAAGGAAACTCTACCCAGCACTCATTTTTCAGAGCTCAAGCCTCCGTGAGTAAGAAGAGCCGTGGATCTTCCATGCGCTTGGGTGAGGGGAATTCACAGCTACCGTTTCCCTCTTGAACGACATCCCCTGAATGTATTGATTTTTAAGGAAGGCTAATAAAAATAGGTGTAAGAAACAGCCAAAAGTAAAAACAGGCGCGGCGGTCTCGAGATGGGGAGTGTGTGTGTGGGGGGGTGTGCGGTGTGGTGGTGAGTGTGGCAGGGCAGTTAGGGAGAAGGCGGGCTTTTCGAATTTGAAAAGATCCAATCATCAAGCAGTATTGCTGACAGCCAATCAGAGCGGGGAACACGCTATAAAAGCAGCCACGGGCCAGAGCAGTTTCATTCACAGCGCTGTTTCTACCAACAGCCTGGTTTTCGGATAGCGATGGCGCGCACGAAGCAGACG